AAGATACTGGAATTTTTCCACAAACTTTTTGAAGCCCCCTCGTAGATCAGGGTGGAGATATAGGTAAATGGCACATGACAAGGACATGGAGTGTTCTCACAAGCAAAGATGTGTGGCAGGTAGGTCAGCGGTTCTGAAACATTTTGGTCTCAGGTGCCATTTAAACTCTTGTTTTTTTAATTGCATAAAGAGCTGTAGCTTGCACACCTGCCTGCCATCGATATTTACCACATGAGAATGAAAACTGAGAGCATCCTAAGCCCAAGAATACACAAGGTGCGGTCCAAAAGCAGCAGAGCATCATGGGAGCTCACGAAAGCGCTGTGCATGATAAGAGAACAAAGCTAAGAAGGCTTGGCTGGTGTCCCTGTTGGGTCTCATTCTGGCTCATGGTGAGCGCACAGATGAGGGAAGGAAATGCTACCCAGTCCTACGCTATGCTCACTGCAGTGGGAATGTTCAAGTCCATGATCACAGCCATTGTGTGCTTTGAATGTTGTCCAGCCTGGAGAGGAGCCACAGTGGTGTAGTGGTTACCTGATGGGCTGCTAACTGCGGGGTCAGCCATTCAAAACCACCAGCCATTCCACAGGGGAAAGGCTTTTCACTCCCGTAAAGAGTGACAGTCTCAGAAACGCCAGGGGCAGTTCCACCACACCAGGAGTCAGTGAGTTTGAGTGTGGTTCTGTCCAGCCTCCATGTCTCTGTGGCTACAACCATGGGCTCAAACACAAGACCAACTGTGACGATGGCAGGACTGGGCGGTGTTTCTTTCTGTAGGCCACGGGGTCCCTATGAATTGGAAGCAACTTAATAGCAGCTAAGAACAGCATCCGTATCTCTGTCACTCCCACCAAATGACTGAATGAGACCATGCAAATAAGGTGTGGGAAACACTAACAGAGAGGATTGACTGTAAGAATGAGGCATTTCAGAAACAGGAACAGAGGGAGAAAACCTGTGGCCACCAGCGGAGCACATTGGAGATCCCTGCCTTAAAGTGGTAGAGGCCAAGACCAGAGGCACCAGAAGCTGCTGCACAAAGACCACAAGACGGAGCAGAGGGCCTGCATCCCTGAGACCATGCGGCAATGAGGTGGCAGGCTAGCTCCCTGGCCCACAGAGGCCGGAGCCAAGGGACTTCATGGCGGAGAGTCTGAGGATCAGGGAGAGAGTTTGGGCTGCTGGCTGAGAAGAGGCACCACTGTGGACAGTGACTGCATCCTTCCTGACGGACCCTGACTCGGACTAACCTACTTACTTCCCTGATAAAGCTCCACAATGAGTGGTGGTGTCTGTGAGTTTGGTGTGGCCACTGAAAGGAATTATGGAACCCAGCAGAAAAGTAGAATGTTATAGGAGGAGGGGTTGGTGTCAGAGCAGAGCAAAAGAGATGGAGGGCGAAGGCATGTCTGACCTCTGCCTTGGTCTGGGGTGGAGACAGATTATCTTTCTCCCTTGTGGAGAGGTCTCCATGCCATTTTTTTCCCTAGCGACCCTGTAGCGCAGAGCAGAACTGTCTCTGTGGGTTTCTGAAGCTTGTAAATCTTTGCAGGAGCAAAAAAACCTCATCCTTCTCCAATTGCAGCGGCTGACCTTGTGGTTCCCAGCCCAATGTGTGCCCCACTGTGCCTCCAGGGCTCCGGAAAGACAAACAGCACTCTAGTATTATTACAAAAGTTATCTTGACTTCACAGACCCCCTTAAAGAGCCTCGGGGATTCCCAGGCCTCTGAACATACTTGAAAACCACTGGTATCTACCAAATCTATGTGCGTTTAGACCCCCCAAGGACCTCTGGGCTTGGGCTGGTCAGAAGAAGCAGAATGGTTTCTCCACCCTTCTTCCACCAGAGAAGCACGCTTAACTATTTCGGCTTGCATTTTTTTATATAGCTGTACCTTGTTTTAGCCAACAAGTCTGCCTCGGAAGAAGTACTTACCAGAATGTTCCTGCGAGGCATGGATAGCAAGGCTTTGTCTCCCATACTTTGGACCTGCTGTCAGGGGAGACCAGTTCCTGGAGGGGGTAGGGCATCATTCTTGGTAAAGTGGGTGGACAATGAAAAAGAGGAAGGCGCTAGACAAAACGGACTGACTGTGGCTGCCCCAATAAGGACCGTTGTGAGGACGGTGCAGGACAGGGCAGTGTTTCATTCTCTCGTGCACAAGGTCGCTCGGTCGATGGCACAGAAGAACCATCACCACCACCTTGCTCTATCGCGCTTCCCGTCGTGCTGATTGTTTGGTTTGGTTTGTTCTTTAACAAACTGAAGGTTGGAGTCCTCCCTGCATGCAGTGCGCGCTCAGGGATCTCTCTGTGCCCTGTCTTGCCCATTCTCACCGTATTGCAACCTTTTCCAGGAGGCTGTTGTACATGGAACCGGTGGCAAGATTGTGTCAACACAACCTTGCTGTGCACTGACGGAGTAAGACATGCACTTACACCCCTCGACTAGCAGCCCGCTTTACCTCAGTGGTCTAGACGAAACCCTAGCCATCACTAAGGTGCGTTTAGTCTGGGATTCCGAGTTTATGTTCCTTTGCATCTAGAACCCCATAGGGAGGAGGGAGCAGCTTTAAAATTACCGGTGTCTTGGGGAGCGTGTTAAGACAAGGGGCTTTCCGATGAAAAGCTGAAGACTAGGATCCGTCCTCGGCTCACCAGCTAGGCACCAAACGGCAGGGGGAACTCTGCTTCCCGAACTGCCTCTAATAAATCCCGTCCATCCTTAGAGAGACATCCATCCATCTGAGAAAGTCTTGGAATTGAAGGTGCAGGATTAATGAATCCCATCGAGGCACTTCCTAACTTCTTATCCGAGCAAAACCTATTTGCAGATACACATAGGAGCACCCAGATCAAGAAGTGGACAAGACACCCCAAGACCTCACGCTTGCCCTTCTAGCCTCCCCCTTAGAGTAACCAGGGTGCAGGCATGGAAGTTGAGAATCCCACAGCTTCCCCCTTGCAGGTTTTGTACTTCCTATCAGTGAGAGGAGCATGTGCGGTACACACTTGGTGGCTGGTTTCCTGCATTCAGTATCACGCTGTGAGATGCAGTCTTGCACTGCTGAGGCTGCTGAGCGCAGAAGCAGACATCCCCGTGCTCGGGGCTGGGCCAGCGTGTGAACCTAGCACAGCGTATCCATTCTCCGCCGTTTGCACGGCAAAGGGTATCAAAATGTAGCCATTCTCCATTTGGATGGCAAGTGTATTACAACGTGCCTATTCTCTATTTAGCTTGGCGCGCGTCCAGGTCATTTAGCACATGGCCTTAGAGAAGAGCAGAGATTTTTATTTAGAAGGATCAGTGACATTCACCATCTCCTCCCTTCTTTAGGGAGCCCTGGTGGTGCTGTGGGATAGACAGCAAAGGTCAGCAGTTCAAACCGACCAGCCCCTTCATGGGAGAGAGAGGTGTCTATCTGCTCTTGGGAAGATGGAGCATCTCAGACATCCTGAGAGGGACGCAGTGAGCTGGGATGGGCTTGAGGGCAGTGGGTTTGGTTTCCTTCTTTAAAGTTGTCGCTGTTTCTTCTTTTCCTTCCATGTCTGAACTAGAGCTGACCTGACTCTAAGTCGGGAGGAAGATGAGGCTTTCTCCTCCCATAAAGAGTTGCTGTCTTGGAAATTCACAGGGGCTGTTCTGCTATGTCCTGTAGGGTTGCTATGAGTCGGCATTGACTAAATGGCATTGAGCTTGTTGTTTGTTTGTCTGGTTTGGGGCATTGAGACTTTGGCCAAGAGTTTGGGGCACAAGAAGGGGAGAGTTCATAGGCGCTCGTGTCGGGTCATTTCTTCTAGGAAGGGGCTGTGCGTTCCGTGCTGGGTCTCTGAGTGCCCTGGACCAGAGAACCCATCCGAGTCCGGTGGCACCTGGGCAGAGCAGATGGTGGGTGGACGAGGAAACAGCACCCAAGCAGGCTAACGGGGGGAAGTGCCCACTTCAGAAAATAAACCGTTGTTTACGCTGCCTCAAAGGACACAGCTTGGTCTTCACACATCCCACCTGTGACATGAATCAGAGCCCTCACCTGAGGCCGTAATTCTTTCCAGCCCCAGTAATTCTTTTCCACCCCTCATCATTCACAGCCTCTGACTTTGAAGTGGAAGACAGAGCAGAGAGAGAGAGAAATTAAGAAAGCATGTTAGCCGCCCTAAAAGGAAAGAGGAAGTAAGGGCTCCCAGGGTCCTGTTGGCTGTTTGGGTGACAGCTGGTGACGTGCTTTCCGGCCTCCTTAAAGTCTGTATTTCCACCTGCCCCTCCTGCCTGGAAGGCATTCTGTCCACGTGAAGCCCACGTCGTCCCTGCACCCGGCTCCACGCCGGCTCCTGCCAGCGGCCCAGCCCTGTGGCATGCTGCTTCACCGCCGACCCACAGCTGGCAGGCAGTAGAAGGAGTCGCCCCGGTCCCTGCGAGGGTGAGTACTGCCAATTGACCCGCGTAGAAGAAACTGCCTCGCAGATCTTCAGCAGAAAACAGCTGTCAGTGGAGTCAGGGGCAGGAGAGGGCCGGCCCTGGCGTAGAGAGCCAGCAGATCTGGTCTTTGCTTTCTGTGAACCCTAAATAGTACCATGGAAATGTATTTTGTTCTGTTTTTGTGAAGTCGATAAGAAAAACCCTTACTTCCCAAACCAAAAGCAAACAAAAAGCTAGTTGTAATTGTAACAGCTACTCAGATAACCCCCTGACGGACGGCAAAGCAATAAATGAATAACACATTTGGGACCAGGAACGAGACCAAGTCGAAATAATTATTCAGCAGTGAAGGTGCTCAGACTTAAGCCACCTGGCAGCCTCCCTGACTTTACTCGGGATGTTTTCTAACAGTTGGAGGTTTTGTGTTTGGACAAAGTGATGCTGAACTTGACCGGCTTCTTCATTGAGGGCATCCTGACTCTCTCTTGCGCTGATCTGTTGCAGACGAAGCCGAGGTCCCCCCCAAAGGACAGAGTGGAACGGAGTTCACCGCCAGCCAGCCAGCCAGCCCAGCCCCTCATGAAGGTGACAAGCAGCTGTAACATTGTGCGTGCCCTCGGCCCCCCGAGGCGTTCACACTTTCCAGGAGGGAGAGTCCCGGGCATTTGTCTAAGTGTATCTTTCTCTTTCAGTCCAAAACACTAACTGCCAAAGACATGGACATGGTCATCGGATGTCAATCAGAGGTGAGAAAGCAATGTTTAAAACCTCTCTATGGGCCCTGGGAGGGAGACCTTTTTACCTGCTGGGAAGCTCTTTTCCATCCTAATGGAAGCTCCCGGGGATTGGTTAATGACAAGAGAATACATTTTGCATCAGAAACATAGCAGATTAAACATGGTTGTTGGAATCTGATACGATGACCATCGAGACTTACTATTAATCCTAGAGGCTAGGCGTGGTGGAGTTTAATGTATTGCACTGCCTTGATCTTGGAAATGAATATGATGCTATTGGTGTGTTTCATGGACAAGCCTACGGGTTAATTCCATTCTTGTTTTTAAGGAAATAAATGTATTTTCAGGGCAATATCAAGGAGCATCCTCTCCTGGCATCATCTGAGAGCGAAGACAGTATTTGCCAGCTGATTGGTGAGTTTGGGAAACCAATCCATCTTTTATATAAGTGCCACCAGCCAACATTCTCAGTTGGCAAAGCCACGGTACATTACTGGGCTCTTCTTGTTAAATGTTCTTTAACTCTTACGGGGCAGGCATACGCCTGCTTGCTTGCTCAAACTATGGAGTGAGCTGAGAGCAAAGAGACTGCGGTCAGTCTCCCAGTTCTCCAACGGGTTCTTTATGGGCTAAGAAATCTTCTGGCCACTTGGTGGAGGACAATTAAAGTATGGCTGTGTAATAAAAATACACAAATATTTTCTCAGGGGTTCTTTCTTCATTTACAAAGGGAGCGTGTGTCTGAGAGACCACAAAGCACTTGTTGCTCATATCAGATGTTCAAGAACCCACCCTCTGCCCTTCATATTTTGATATCTATGTAATTCATTTCATCCCAAGGTAACCCTGACCCAGGAACCCCTGAAATATAAGAATAGGTCATTTCTTTCTCTGTCCTCTTCCCATTTGGCAGAGAAGAAAATAGCATTTTATCGTTAGAACAGAGAAGGAAACTTGGGGGGGGGGGGTGGAACTCGTTGCAGGCCAGCCTTCCGGTGTTCGGTGTTCAGAAGGATAGGGACTCTTAGCCTCCTGCTCTTGGCAGTTCTCCAAGCCCAGGGCGAGGTGCAAGTCTTCCTGGGAGCCGAGCGTGTTTCTTGTTGTTGCTCCTTGCTGTCAAATCAATTCCAACGACCGCGGGTGGCACAGATGGTTAAGTGCTCATTGGAAGGTTGGCCACCCTCCCCGAGTCACCTAGGAAGACAGGCCTGGTGATCTGCTTCTGAAAGGTTCACAGCCTGGGAAACCCGAGGGAACAGTTCCACTCTGCACACAGGGGGGCCGGTAGCAGCCACCTGGGAAGCCTGGGCAGAAGGTGACTGCAGGTGGAGGGAATGCTGGGCTTGCTCCCTCTAGGGGCTGGTCCGTGCCAGCGCGGCGGCAGAGGGTGCCTGGGGGTGAAGGGCCTCCAACGTGATCTTTTCTTGCGCAAGTCACTTCCTCTCTTGCTGACCAGTTTCTCTTTCTTCAACTGCCCAAGGCAGGACGGACAGGGGAGAGAGGGGATGCATTGGCATGCCCCTTCTCACGGCAGCAAAGCCCACCCGAGTTAGAAAGGCCAGGTGCGTGCCATGGTTGTTTGTGTGCAACCTGCACCGTTGGGTTTGGTAGCAGAGGAGAAATAACAGGAAAGGCGGAGGCTTTGAGGAACCTCCGTGTTGGTGTTTAGAGGCTGGTTGCCCTGGTAATGGTGGGGTTGTTGGTTTTTCAAATTGCCTTTTTTTAGGTCAAGATTCACACCCTCTGCTTTCTCAGTTTTTCAAATGTTGGATTCTCCCACCCCCACCCCCCAGCCCCAGCAATGACATGGAGGCTCCTGGTGGAGTTGTGGCTATGTGTTGGGCTGCTCCCCATAAGGTCGGCAGTTTGAATCCACCAGCTGCTCCACGAAAGAGAGCGAGAGACTGGGCTTTCTCCTCTCTTGTCATGGTCTCAGAAACTCACAGAGGCAGTTCGACCCTGTCCTACAACGTTGCTAAGAGTCAGCATCGACTCAAGGGCAGTGACTTTGTTTGGGGTTTTGTATCACGTAGGGAGAAAGGCCTGGGCTTTCTACTCCGTAAAGTGTTACAGTCTCAGAAAACCACGGGGCAGCTCAACCCTGTCTTGTAGGGGCGCTGTGAGTCAGAATTGACTCACTGGCCCTGAGTTTGGCCTTGGTTTTGAATAGCGCATGTGTAGCTGACAATGCCCGTTGTCTTCTCTGGGTCTGGCCTGCCTGACTTGCTCCTCTCACTCTCTCTGTCCTGCTGGGTGCCCGCAGAGGTCAAGAAGAGGAAGGTGCTCTCCTGGCCCTTTCTCATCAAGAGGCTGACCTCTTTGTCGGACTTCACTGGGCCCTTGGAGCCAGAATTGAAAGCGACGCTGTTTGACCAGCCCTTGTCAGCCATCTGTGGTGAGGACCACACACTGCCCCGGCCCATTCAGGTAGGTGGACCTTCCCGCAGTGACCACCTTCAGTGTTCTGTCATCGGTGAAAATCCAAGAAAATTCCTAATGTAATTCCAGACCCAATGTGTTAGGGTTGACCTTTGTTTTTTGTTTGTTTGGTCTTCGGGTTTTAGAAACAGCGTTCCCACTAAAGAGACTGGCTGGCCTTTATGGCCTAAAGGATGAGTTACATTTGCCACTGAGCTCAGGACAGTCCCTCCCAAATAGCTTTTCCACATCCGGTTTCAGAGAGTCAAGACTACTGACAATGTACGGTTTCTGAAAAGCTAACAGACATACAGTCGATTCTTAGAAAGCCAGTGTTTCTGCAGAGGGACTTGAAAGGAAGAGAGGCTCAAGGCATTCTGGGATGAGAATTTCCCAGAGAGCTTTCACCATGGGGCTCCTCACCAGAAAGCGCAGCGAGAGAGGGGGTGCGTCGCACCCTGAAGACAGCAACATTGGCGTGCTGATTCTTGTTGGGGTTCTTAGTAAAATGGAAAGTCAGCCTTGACGGGCAGGATACTTCATGACGGGGGAAGTTGGGTACCCCTCACGGACGTGACTCTCAGGCAGTCTCCAACCTAAATGTATGCGTAGCAGTCAAGGGTGTGCCTCTGAGCCAAGGCAACCATCTCCTGCCCCATCGCTATGTCCTGTAGGGCATCCTCACTATTCTGTGCCGTCAAGGCCCTTCGACTGAAGGAATATTCCGCAAAGCGGCCAATGAGAAAGCCCGCAAGGAGCTCAAGGAGGAGCTAAACTCGGGAGGTGCGGTGGACTTGGAAGGCTGCCCCGTGCACCTGCTGGCTGCAGTCTTTAAGGTGAGTTCCCGGCGTTCCTTTCGAGAAATAGGGCATAGAGTTCCCCGCATTCCTTTCAGGAATAGCATTCTCAGGAGATAGAAAATGGACTTCTCTTCCCAGTGGGCAAAGTCTAACTTTGTTTTAATTAAGCCATTTATGTATTTGTAACCAATTATGCATGCATATAGAAGCTTTGTTGGCACTCTGGACTGAGCCTTCAGGTGCTAACTACAAGGTCAGTGGTGGTTCAAACCCACCAGCTGCCCCATGGAACAAAGAGGTAGCTATTGGCTGCCCCAGCAGTTTACAATCTCAGAAACCAAAGCAGCAGTTCTACTCTGCCCTATAGGTAGGAATTGGGTTAGTGGTTCAAACCCACCAGCAGCTCCTTGGCAGGAAGATGAGGCTCTCTGCTCCCATAAAGATTGACAGCCTCCAAAGCCCTAAATAGGGTTGCAATGAGTATGTGATATATGCATATATGCACCTACATTGTCTGTAAATCTAGTTTATTTATCATCTCTGTGATCTGAGAGTCCAACTGAAAGTGATACTTTAAGCTGCCACAAAAAAAAAAAAAAAAAAATCGATGAGCAAAGGCGATTTGTCCTGTGGCCCCCCACTAGAATTCTCCCACTAGGGAGCGCAGCCCTCTGTCCCTGTTGTTATCAAGTTGATGACAGACATTGGGGGAGGGTGCCGGAGGGGTGACGAGAATTTATCTGTATCATGGAGGGGCCCCGAGGTCCCTGGGGTCCAACAAAGGTCAGGGCCCAATGTCCCACCAGCAGACTACACAGTGCTCCTCCCGCCACCGCCCCCTTGCAGGACTTCCTGCGGAGCATACCCCAGAAGCTGCTCTACAGAGACCTGTTCGAGGACTGGATGGACGCCCTGGCCCGGCCGTGTGAGGAGGACAGAGTGGAGGCCCTCCAACAGTAAGTGTCGGAGTGACTCGCTGGACCAGGGCTGCGCTGGCCACAGTGGTCCTCCAGCTGACTGTGAAGTGGTTCGTGAGCTCTCTGTGCCTCGCCCACACCACGCAGCTCCCTGAGTCTGAGGGGCCGGCCCTGGGGTTAGAGCCGGGAGGTCCCCGCAGTTTAAAATGGGGGTGATCACCAGACGGAAGGAAGTACAACTCTGTAAAGGAAAAATTCATGAATCCCAGGAGGCTGGGAAGCCTGTCAATAGAAGTAGTGCAAGGAGAAAAAGTCATGGAAACAGGCCTGGTTGTGTCAGGCCCAGACGATACGGTAAACTCTTTGAAACGGGCACGTGGGGGTGCCCTGGCCCCACATAGATTGGTGTCACTCTGTGGTGGCTTCTTTTTGTTTGTCGTGATTCCTTGACACTGTTCCTCTCCTCGTCACGAGCTAACGTGAAAATTACAGAAAAACAAATGCAGTCAAAATGCTCACCTCTGTCGATGGAAGGCATGGCCCCGAGTGACACAAAGAACTCTAAAAATGCCGCTGTCACACCTCGGCTTCCTGTGAGCAGTCCCCCTGCGTCTTGGCTCTCGGGGTTGCTGTAACGCAAATACAAACCAGTTGTCTTTAAAGGACAGGTTCTGAGAGCAAAAGGTCCAAATAGGAATCTTAGCCGGGGCAACTCCTTCCTCACAGGCCAACGTGGTCCCCGGTGCTCCTCGTTTCCGCCCGCGGCTGGTGATCCTCAGATCGCATCTGTGTGCCCGTGTCTCATCTGCCCCTCTCCTAACCCAGAAGGGATTAGATTTAGAACCCACCCTACGTGGACCTGGTGTAAATACCATAACACGGAAAACCCTGTTGCAAACAGAATCCCATCCACAGGCATGGGGATTGGCCTTCAAACATGTACTAGGGATTGGGGGCACAGGATTCTCCCTAACACGCCAAAAATCCCTCTGCATATTATGATTGCCCCACGTGGCTAAATAGTGTCCGTGAGACACTGAGCGAATTGAAGACTTTGACGTGTCTCTCCCAAAACGAACATCCCAAGAGGATCACCATAAATCGACTAACAACATAAAGAAAGCTCGTCCATTGCCATCCCTTCCTAAAGGAAGTGGAAATGCGCCATGGGCTCAAATTAAGACCCACGGTGAGCAGCGTTTCCTTCAGCTGTGCAGATGGATCAGAACCCACTTGCCCCTGGCAACAGAACTATAATGTATCAGCGTCACCAGTCCAGCTTTGGAAAGGGGGCGGGAGGGGAGGGGTCCGCCTTTGTCATTGTTAGTTAGTGTTGCCTCGGCCAGATTTATGAATGTGTGCAGATTTATGAATGTGTGCTTGTAAGCTGATTTATACCCCCTGCCATCAGCTCAGAGGAGTGCTGGTCGAGCTGAGCAGTTAAGAGCTCAGCAGCTAAACAAATATGTCATCTTCCTTAGATGGGGCAGGCAGGGTGGGGTGGGAGGGGACAATTCCCAAAGCAGCAAAGGGTTGGAGTCTAAGAAAGCCAGACAAGTCTGTCTAGCTGGGGGACAAACTCAACAAAAGGATTTTCAAATGTTAAAGACAAGCCCCAGGGGCTCAGAGCAGGTTCCGCTGCGGGATTTGAGGTTGGTGTTGCAATGCTACAGACCCAGCTCTCGGGCCTTCCTAGGCTGTGGTCAACTCATTTCGTTTGGTGTCCATTACAGCTGGAAGTGTCTGAAGGAACGTTGCACAATGTTCACTTGAGAAAAAGCGCCTTCCTCATTTGAAAGGAAGTCTGCTTTCAGGCAGGAACCGCCGCCGTCCACGGCCTGAACGTCTCTGAAATTCACGGTCCCCCCTTTGTGCCAGGGTTGCAGATAAACTCCCGCGGGCCAACCTGGAGCTGCTCAAACAGTTGGTCTACGTGCTTTTCCTCATCAGCAAGAACGCTGGCACCAACAAGATGGACTCAAGCAACCTGGCCATCTGCATCGGGCCCAACATGCTGGCCCCGGACAGCGGCCAGAGCCTGTCGCTGGAAGCCCAGAGAGACTTGAACTATAAGGTTTGTTCTGGGCGCTTTTAAAGAAACCCCCAACTTAGAGTCTCACCATCCGTTGGCAAAAACCAAGCAATGAAAGGCTTCTTTCTGAGGCTCCCCAGTTGGAGAGAGAAAAGGGTGGCACGCTGTGGTCAGAGTGGTCAGAGTTCCACTCTCTTGTCATGGAACCAGCCACCCAATTCTGAGGCACACTGCTCAGTCTCAAGCCTGTCCCGTGTTTGGTTTGGGATCAGCTCATTGGGTCACATGGATTTCCATTGGCTGATTTTTCTGAAGTAGTGCACCAGGCCTTTCTTCCTCGTCTGTCTTAGTCTGTAAGCTCCACGGAAGCCCACCCAGCATCAGAGAAATGCAAAGGCCTCCCTCAGCAGGGGGGAGTGGCTGCGCCTGGGGTCCCTTGGTCAGCAATGGCCCAAGCCTCCACATGGACAATGGGAAGTCTACCAGTGGCCTGCCACTGCCCCTCTCTGACCAGGCATGACAATCCAAAGCGACCTTAGCCCGTGTCCTCTATCAGCCTGGCAGCAGGTGACAGGCTCACGGATTGTCACATCCCTCTGTCTTCTCAGCTAGAAAAGCATTTTTTATTTTTTCTTGTTTGTGCTTCACACTGTTAGTACAACCGTAACGTGTAGCATCCCCTAGGGGGGCACTGGCCCGATCTAGTGGGGCGGTGAAAGCAGACACCGATCTATACTTTATCCTGCTTCATGGGCTACAGGAGGCACTGGGTAATATTTTTTCCCTGAAAAGGGAGAGTGGGGGAACCAAGTAAGATTGGGGACCCACAGACACAATTTTTCTAAATGAGAACTGCACAATTTTAAGGTAAAATACTTTTTAAAAATCTTTGGGTGGTGGGGGGAATCCATGTCCCAAGAAGAGTTTTTGTTTTTTTAAAAAAGAACAAACAATGAACTCTAATGTCTGCTTGTTTGGCTATAGTGACCATCTGTACATTTCAAACTTGAGAAACGTCCACATCTCTCTTGGGCCTTTCCCTGAAAGCTGACCCCACATGGTCCCATTCTTCACCCTGACCTTCCCAGAAAGAAGCAGGTCTCCAGACTGACGCCGCTCATTTTCCTCACAGGTGAAGACACTGGTGGAATTCCTCATTGACCACTGCTTTCAGGTCTTCGGGGAGAACATTCCGGCACCTTCCAGCATTACCTCTGATGAGTCCCTGGAGCACACAGACAGTTCAGGTGCGCATGTGCCAGTGATGCTTGGCATCTTGGGAGAGTGTTCCTGCCAGGGACGTAAAATAGCGCTGGTATGAGAGCCAGGAAGGGCCTTTGCAAATCAGCTCTGTGGGCATCCTCAAACACTGCACGGGCATCCTCACACTCTGCATGGGCATCCACAAACACTGCATGGACATCCTCACACACTGCATGGGCATCCTCACACACTGCACGGGCATCCTCACACACTGCACGGACATCCTCACACACTGCATGGGCATCCTCAAACACTGCATGGACATCCTCAGACAGACACTGCACAGGCATCCTCACACACTGCACGGGCATCTTCAGACAGACACTGCACAGGCATCCTCACACACTGCATGGGCATCCTCACACACTGCACGGGCATCCTCAGACAGTCACTGCATGGGCATCCTCAAACACTGCACGGGCATCCTCAGACAGACACTGCATGGGCATCCTCAGACACTGCACGAGCTCCTCAGACACAGCACAGGTATCCCTAAAACGCCTCCCGCAGCTGCAGGCTGGCCCTTTCCACTTTGCATTCTGAATTGTGACTAATTGCTACAAGAAAAAAAAATTAGTAAAATAAATCCAAACCTATTGCCAAACCAATTCCAACTCAGAGCAACTGTTTAGGGTGGAGCAGGCTTCCATGCCAAAGTCCTGGAATATGGGTCTGTACAGGAGCCATCCAGGAATCCGCTGTCAATATTAAGATGAGTAAATGATCAGGGACATACAACTTTGTTCTCCCTCGCTCTTGCATCTTCCCTTCTTATACTTCTCTCAGTCTAAAATAGTGGATTTGGAAATAAATCCATGTCCACGTGGTACGTGTCTGATCAGAGCAGCTCCATCCTGGGTCAGAGCAGGGTCGGTGATTCTGCAGTGTATTTCTAAAAGAACCGGGACCAAAAGTTCGCCTCTTCCTTTCTGCTCCCCAGATGGGTCGACCCTGCAGAACGACTCAGCCTATGACAGCACAGACCCGGATGTGGAGCCCAGCGTTGTCACCTGCTCTCGGAGCGGGCAGCCCCAGGGGCCCACGGAGCGGCCCAGCAGCTTGGACAACAGCGGGCCGCGGGACCTGTGTGAGCCGGGCCCAAAGCCCATGGCCAGCGTGGTGGCCAGGCTGAAAGGCTCTCTGGTTCAACCAGACAGGAGGCATTCGGAACCCAGCCGGGCTTCCTCCCAAGAGTGCCTTGGGGGCCGGATCACGAGTCAAAAGCTAACCAAGAGTGAGGACAACTTCCCGCAGGCAAGGGTGGGCTCTCGTTTTGAGAGCGAGGATGCTGGAGACCCATTTCCGGAGGAGGTTTTCCCTGTAGCAGAAGTCAAACCCCAAAGACCCCTGGGCCTGAAGGCAAAGAGTGTGACTCAGGGCCCAGCGTTCCCCCGGGGACTGTTACCGAAGGCCATCTCCTCGGGCTCCCTGGACAGCTCCTCTGATGGCTCCCCTGTGGTTTCTCCCTCCAGTCCCAAGAGGCACTTCTTCACCCGGCACCAGTCCTTCACCACCAAGCCTGACAAAGGGAAGCCCAGCAGAGAGATACGAAAGCATTCCATGTCCTTCTCCTTCGCCCCGCACAAAAGAGCGCAGGCCAAGGGCGCCGGCGGTGGGTCTGGGACGCACAAAGGCCTTCCCGCGAGTCAAGGAAAGAAGAGTGGGAAGAAAGACAGCCAGCTCGCTGGCCGCATCATCCAGGCGAGCTGGCCCGAAACCCACAGCCACACGGCTCTGCACTTGGACTTAAGAGCCCAGGGCTTCTCCGTGGACGATGTGTTTCGACAAGTGGACCAGAGACTCCCTGGAAGGCCGCCGTCTTATGAAGAGGCGGTTCTGGGTCAGCCTTTGGAACTCACGGCCTACACGAGCCAAACGGTTGGAAGCATGAGAGCACGAATGCTCAGTCAAGACTCCACGCAGCCAGCTCTCCACCCGACTCACCATGCAGGGGACTCGGGAAACCCCTGCCACCCAGGGCCACCGAGTGGGCACAGGCTCTCTCCCGTGACTGGCCGTTGGAAAGGAGGCCGGACTGTGTGTGCGTCCGTGGAAACCGAAGCAGACGTGGCTGTGCCTGGGAGAGCTGCCCTCCCCCGGCTGAGAACTGTGTCTGAGTCCTTGGAAAAGAGCAGGCGGGACTACTTCGTCCGGCGCTGCAGTCAGCCAGTGCTTGAGGCTGACCGGTTCCCATCTGCTAGAGAGTCCTACATTTAGAGGCAGCTAGGGCCATCCCCCGGGACAGAGCTTGTGGTGTCTCTGTAAATATGTGACTGTGTATAGACTTATTTTTAGGTTCTGGGTTCAACAAAGTCAGGAATAAGCTCCTTTAGAAAAGTCCTCGATGGGGACACATGTGCGCGGTGGCGCTTGGGTCCCGTCTGCGTGCCCCCGAAATGTGCAATATGTGATGTCATGGACAAGGCGGGAGAGGCCAAGAATGGGGGCAGGTCCACGCATGTATATTTGCTGGTGTGCTTGAGGTGGATTACGTGGCTGCCCGCCCTCCCAGGGCACTTGCTCATTGGTTAGGGTTTACCAGTACTTTTTTCTTCTCTTCATGTTGTCTCACCTGGCACACCGATTGCCACAGCTCCGCTTAGGGACTGACGTTTAAAGCTCTGTGAGTAGTTGATGTGGAGGAGCAGCTCCCGGGTTCTTAATCACCACGGTCCAAGAAAGAGGGTGGCAGTCAGGAACCCCAGCTCCCTGTTGGAAGCGCTCACCACCATCACCAACGCCGATGAAGGACGAGGCCTCCATGGAAGTTCTCCAACATGTCTTTTCATCCTCAAATTACGTGCCTTCCATTCCGATGAACCCACTTATAGCTGTGGGTTTCTCTGCGGTTCAGTGACGCCAGACCTCATAGTGTGCAGGTGACCAGTATCTGTGTATTTGGGGGTCGTGTAAAACTTCAACGTGATTGCACTACAATAAAGCGCCTTCCTTATGTGAAAGTATAACTCTTCGTTCTTCCCTGATACCCTGCCCTCCCTTCGGTTAATAGGCGTCGTATGCCAGGAAAGTTGTTGTTTGCACATTCCTTCATCAGCATTGATGGATACTGTGCTCCTTGTTTTGAGTTTCAATAAAACTGGGGATCTTGGCCTGTGTGAGAGATAATCCTTGTTCTCCAGAAATGTGTAAAGCCACTAGAAATAGCATATCTGTATAAGATAACTAGCATATAACATATATTATATACTTGAAGCCATTTATTTCTCCAGCAAGCAATCACTCAGAGGCCAGCAATCTTTTGTGTGCAAGTGTAAGCAAATAATACAGCAAATATATGCACTATCTTGTATGCAGAGATGAGCAAATAATACAGGTCAAACAGCAAAACAATATATTAGAATTTTTAGTGAATTCAACTTTTCAGTCCTTTCATGGGTATTATCTTATTTGAATGATGCCTTGGTTTGCTTGATTATTAGCAAACTTCATGGTAAAATGTAAGTTGATTTTATATCTTTACATTGGAACTCTAGTGCTCAGTGATGGAGCCATTTATCCAGTATTTTAGAAACTTCATTTCTCCTTCTTTTATCAACTTTTTTCATGAAACGATGTACATGCTGTCGATCTGCTAGGGAAATAACTGAGGATTGACTAGCTATCAGATGATGAAGACCTGTTCTCCCCAGAGGTCATGGATTAATAACGCTAAAATATGTTGAATGTTAAAAAGCATACGATGTGGAAAAGCCTTCCTAATGCTGGAACGCAAATTGCTCAAGGCAGCATGACCGAGTCTACCAATGTCCATCAAAGTGCTCTAAGAGGCAGACTCTCTCCCCACCTGACCGCTGGTTTATGGAGAGCGAACCCTTTCAAGAGCTGACCCTAATGGTCACTGCAGGTTTTAGCATCGGCCTGGTGCCAGGCCCTGCACTAAGGATTTCAGCGTTCTAAAGAAAAGGAAAGAGAAATCCTCCACTTCTTCTTGAGAATCAGCAAATTCTCATCGGGAGACCTAGGGATGCAGTGGTTTCAGTGTTTGACTGCTAATCATTAAGCTAGTGGTTCCAACTGACCAGTCACAATGCAGGAGGAAGATGGCGGCTTCCCTGATGATCGCGGCCTTGGTCACCCAGGGGAGCAGTTCTACCCCGTCTTTCGGGGTTACGCTGAGTCACAATCGACTTGAAGATGGTAGGTTTTGTTCTGGAACACTAAGACCAGAGCTCACAGGCAAACCAACCCCTCTGGCTTTGAAGGAGTCGGATCCAGGCCAACATGGTGTGGTCACATAGCAGAACTGGGCCCCAGGAGGTCTCTCATGCCGATATTTTTGGAAGTAGACCATCAGTCTTCCCTCTGAGCCATCTTTGGGTAGACTTGAACTGCCAGACTTTCAGTTAGTAGACAAGCACCTAATCATGTGTGCTATCCTGCTATCCCAGTCCATAGCCAGGTCTATTCCTGTTTTGGGTCTATCCCAAGTCTATTCCTATCTCACCTCCACTCCGACCTCCATGTGACCCTGCTCAAGTCACGTAACCTTCGCAAATGTCCTTATTTTTTTAAAAGTGGGAAAGAGATGAGACATCTTCTATCCGAGTCAGTTTTGGGAAGCACAACTTGCTAGCTCACACATAGGAGCTTCTATGTCCTCAAGCAATTGCCGTTGTTGTTGCTGTTTGCAAAATTGGAAGTAAATGAGGAATATCCTGCACAGTGTGGTAGACTCGTTCACACCCTAAGTGGCCTTCAAAGAGCAGGGGTTCCCAATCAGACTCCCATTCTTCACAATATAGGACTTGGCAACAATATTGAGCGCATCACCATAACCAGAGTGAAGACCAGCTGTGAGGTTTGGAGGATTTCAGAGAGATTTCAGTCAAGAGCCAGCCACACCCAGAGTCCTGTCCTCAAAGGGCTTCCCAAGGGGCAGGTAGCGACAAATGGGAGAGTCACACTGTGCCATTCAGCCAAGCACACAGTCTAGGGTAAAACCAGGTGGGACATCAACCAGAAAGCCTCCACCCCCTCAAACCAAACTCACTGCCATTGAGTCAATGCTGACTCATAGCAGCCGAGACTGTCACTGTTGATGAGAATGGAAAGCCCAGTCTTTCTCCTGAGGAGCTGCTGGTGGTTTTGAACCGCTGACCATGCAGAGCGCAGCCCAACATGTAACCATTACACTACCAGAGCTCCACTCACTCAGCATCCTGAATTACTAGGCCTGGGTTGAACCGTAAGAGGACCTGGCCCTCTTACAACTCTGAGACCGGGAGCAAGTCTCTAATGACAAGACTTTGCACGCAGACAAGTCCATGGCCATCCAGTTAGTGGATAATGTATTCCTCTTGGAAGGTGGGAAATCTCTCTTCCCCTAAAGAAGGGTGAGACAGGGTTGACACAGCCCATACCCAACTTTGTCCATGGCCTACGTTGATGAACCGCCATGACATGCTGCCCCTGAGCATCCGCTGCAGCTCTTACCGCAGGTGAATTGGTCCTGACTCGTGATGGCCCTGTGTGTGCAGGACAGAGCTGCTCTGCGGCGTTTCCAAGGCTGTGATCTTCTCAAAGCAGATGGTCGGGTCTGCTTTCTCAAGGCACCTCTGGGTGGGCTTGAACCAGCAACCTTTCAGTTAGTGGTCCAGCATTTAACCGTATGGAGGGATTGTTCCCCCAAATACTGAAAGGGCTAAAAGAAATGAAAATTTAGTCTAGAGAGAAGTGAACTGAGGGGAGTTAACCAAGGCTGGGTGCCTTTTGTAGAACAGGCAAAACCGCAGTCGCCTGAGAGCTTGAACAAGACAAAGACAGTGACTTTGTTGGCTGGGGTCCTTTACCAGTTGAAGCAGCCGCGCTGGTTTGCAGCACTCAGCTTCCCATGGGCCCTCGGTGAGAACTGAGGAAGAGTCGCAATCACTAACTGTTGGTCCCACCACACTGGTCAAAGAGTGGCTTTCCCTGGTGCTACCTGACTGCACGCATCGCCTTCTTCCTGAAGGGCCCGGCACCTAGGCACCCACACCACCAGGGAGCTTATATCTTGAGGTTGCATTTTTTCATTGAGTTGTGTAAGATCTTAACTCTTCATCTGCCAGAGGAGGGTGCTGCACTATCAGATGCATAGACGGTTGGCTAGAGAGAGGATTGAGTCATAGGGGAGCGGTATTTCAAGCAGTGAGACACAGAATCCCACCAGCCTCTGGAGCACAAGTGAGGAAGCCCCGGAGGGAAGGAGAGGAGACGCTGTGGGAAAGCTTGCACACAGAATGCAGAAATCTGGCCAGAAAAAGGAAACGCAGAGCGATGACATCTCTGCAGGTAAAGAGGGGGTGCCTCAGACCCACGGCAGCTAAGTTGGTGTCACCCCAAACAAGCTATGAACCCCACAAGCACCAGTTTGTCCAAAAAGAGAAGGGCCATTCCCATGGCTGGGCCGCCAAGGACAACTGATGAGAACGGAATATGCCGCCTGGAAGCAGAATGTGGGCCTCACGATCTGATCCGGAAGCACCTCCATCCGTTAGATTTGTAACCAAGGCGAATATGGATGGACTCAATCATTCCAGGGGAACGGGTTTCATACAGATCAGCTTTCCTCCCTTTGAGGCGTCTGCTGAGAAAAGAGAGCTTAGCCTTATTGGTTTCTCATTGTAGATGCACAAGGTACACCAGTATTAGCAAAACAGCAAAATTCCTAGAGCATTAAAAGTACTTCAAGAGCTGAGACGACTAAGACGTCCAAAGGAAATATGAAATGCCAGTCACAGGAGGACAGACAACAGTTCATTTTGGTGGATCTCAAACTTGTCTTAAGCAACAACCTTCTGCTCACGTTAATATTCCGATTATGTATTACAATGCAAAATACCCACACATTAAGTCAAAGAATCCCTGATCGTAAACATGACCAAAGCATTTGGAAGAACGCACTTGATAGATGCACACCGGTTGTGTTTTCAAGCCACAGAATGAAAAATGTGTCACATGTAACTTTCCCTTATCAAAGTACTGTCGCTTAAGCATGAACCTGGAATACTGAAAGGAAATCGAGTGTACAAGCTGAAAGCTTGCTGGAGAAGGGTCAGTGGAAGGAGGCATGCTTCTGAAAACCAGCGTCCGGGAGGAAACCCCCCAGGGCGTGGTCAAGGAAAGGGGTGCGGTTAAAATTGCTTAAAGTAGTAGGTTCACTGAATATTGTTGCAATTGTGGTAAATTTTGAAGTGGTGTGGGTGCTGACTCCTATTAGTTTCAAAAAATATGTTCAGGATCATTTTGGTACCTGGATTTATACATTTAAAAACGGGGGGAGGGGGGTGATGAATGTCTATTAGAAGCTGTTTCTCTGTCACATGTAACAGACCTGGTAAATACTTGTCTAGAGTTTTCATTTAGCAAATCGTGCATTTAAGTGAAACCAACCGAAAAAGAAATAGGTGTATGGATATGTGATTTTGAAGTGGAAGTCTTAAAAATGTAAATAAAATGTGGAAAGAATCTCAAAAAAATCAATTTAAATAAATAATGCAAGAAGAAAATGCTAGAGTTCACAAAGGCCAAAATACAATCGAGTACACTCCACCTGAGTTTAGAAACCGTCTCCGGAGCAGATTTCACGCACTGAACACGACTGACCAAAATCAAACGGATGCGAGACGACATTAAGGACACCGTGCATGAAGAAAGAAGAAGACATTAAAAGACAAGAGGAAAATGAAACGGCAGAATGGATGTCAGAAAGACTAAAACTTGCTCATGTGTGTAGAGTAACTAAACTTAGAAGAAGAAATGAAGTCAAAGAACAGAAAATTTAAAGGGCAGCTAGAGAAGACAAAATTAAGCATTACAATGGGTAAAACATAAAGTCAGAAAACCAAAAGAGGGAAAGTATACTCAGCATATCTTAAATTAATATTCAAGCTTCAAGGTGAACTATTGAAGGGTTCTGTGGGCAAAATATTGAATGATACAGGAGCTATCCAAAGAAGAGGAACCAAAAATAATTTGTTGACACTCGACTATTTCAAAAAATAGAGCATGACGAAGAACCGAAGGTACTAAAAGAAGGAACCAAGGTTACCCTGAAGGCATGAGTGAAAACCAAGGCTTCAAGAATTGATGGGATATCAGATGGAGTGT